CATTCTCATTAAGTGTATAAGGAGGCAACAGGGCGTCAAATAGACCCCAGAGGCGCCTCTCTCATATATATATATATACACATACATAGAGACAGATATATGTTTATACATATTTACATATATATATATATATATATATATATATATATTTCTACATGTATATCTACATGTATATATATATAAACACATACAAATATATATATATATATAGATATGTACATATATACATGCAAACATGTATATGTATAACATTTATATACATGCATGTCATGTATATATTTTCATGCACATGTATACACATGTATGAAGCTATGAAATAATTGCCAGGCTTGTAGCAGCGCGAAGTGGATCCGATCCGCCAGTCGCAGCGGAGCCCGGAACCCGGCCTTTGGCGTACCTGTCATGCAGACTTTCGGACATTCCTTTTGTCGACGACAGGCTTGGCAATATACTTTCATCAATGTCGATAACACGTACACGGTCTCGGTCACGGACAACAGCGGCTCGGGTACCACGTACAAGGCCGGAAGTTTAGTGCATTTTGGTGCAGGAGCTTCTTCTGCCATCCGGGAGGTGCCACCCTACGGCCATGTGACAGCCTACTGCTCTGCATCGGGTGTGGGGGCGACGACCAACAAGCCGGAGCCTAAGAGTGGACTGTTCCAGCAAGAACATGAGGCAGGAAGGCCCGCAAGTGCTTTTTGATAATTGCGGGAGGCTCGCCTTCCCGAGCACTACGTTGCCGACGCTTTCGGTAGCTTGGACAATTATAAGTCCTGTCCCATAGGTCTGCACTCTTTGAAGACATGCGAAGAGGCGCTTCCTTCGGCCCTCATTCGGAAAGAAGGCCTCAAAAAAACGAAGCACACCCAAGCAGGCTCACGTTGTATATCCTATTTCAACGCGTCAGTTGTGTGTCAAGGGGTGAAGCTGCTGTACGGATTGCGCGGGCACACTTGCAAGAAGAGCTGCTTGCACTATGGGATCACAAGTACCTTGCTTGATGCCAGATTTCTATCTGCCGCTGTGCATCTGAGGGTACTGCATATCTTCAGTTTCCGAGCGTCTTCTCGTTTTGGTTTCCGATCTCTACACCGACATCTAAGGTAGACAACGGAATCACAATGTCGAGTGGAGCCTTCGATGCCAGTGCAAGTTCAGGACAGTTCTTGGTGCATCTGGATCTGCGGTAGTGTTGTCTAGGTGCTCTACTTGGTGAATTTGCTGGTTCCACCATGTTCCGCCATCATTCCGGGTATGGATGGATCGCTTTCTTATCCTGCTACAGTCGCAAGCAGAAGTCGTGAGAATTGGTGTCATGGGCAGAATAAGGCGCACTGGCACTTGACGAACATCATCATCATCACCACCACCATCATGATCATGATCATGATCATCATCATTATCGTCATCATAGTCAGGCAGCGTCGAGGTGGCAATATCGAAATTGTTCGAAGAGTGTACACGGACGGGAGAGTGCAGGAAATTTCGGCACATCCACCGGTACGTCCTGGGCTTAGCGGCTTCGAACTGGGTACTGAGGCTTTAGGGTTTGGCTTGCAGGTTCAGGAGGCATGTGGTTCGGGACATTGATCAAGACAACGGCCGGACCTGTAGATCATGCGTTGCGAGCGGAGGCCTTTTGTTAGCAGATGTTAGCAGCACTTCGGGACGTCGGCATTCTAGCCCGCAACCTGTACCTGAAACTGTTGCCGATGATTTCCATGCTGCCTGTGCAAGCGCTTCCGTGTTTGGGTTCCGAGTAATGGCGGGCCAATGACTGCTAAGTTGCAGTTGAGTTTGCTTTAGCTCCACATGCAGCTGACAGATCCATGCTCAGGGTGACCCTTGGTGGCAACACCGTGATTAGCGGCCTCAGCACCTTCACCACGGGAGGGGGTACCGTGGACATTCAGGGCGATGTGACTGTTGCAGACTCGATACTCGGCAACCATCTTTATGGAAGTGTTTTTTTGTGGCGGGAGCTATTGGTTCCTTGATGGTCCTGCTGCTCTGTTGCTCTGGTGGTCTGTTGCTCCAGGAAGTCGATCACTGTGGGATCTGCAGGGGCCGGAGGGGCCGTTACGATCTACGGCAATGTCGTCATTGGCGAGACCGGCTGGAAGCCAAGGAATGTTGAGGGAGGTCTTCATGATCATGGCCCCGAACCGAAGCCCCAAGCCGCTTAGCCTAGACTTTGAACCCAAGCCTGAATGATGCGTTCTAAGGAACTGGAAACGGAGCATCCCTGACGCTGAACGGCGACTTCACACAAGCCGACGTTACAGGCAGGTGGCAGGTTGTGTTTCCTGACCGGTTCATTTGGGGTTTGGAGCCTAGTAAGGTGTGGTGTGAGGGCAGAGGATCCCCTGCCGCTGTGACGGTGACAGTCATCTTGCTTCCAGTGCTGGTGTGGTGAGCGTTCTGGCCCTGATTGTGTTTCCTGCACTTTCGATCAATGACACGGGCGGCCGGCACCAACGCAGGCAAGTAATGGCAACCATTGTTACAACCGCCATGTGCCAGAGTGGCACGGCGGCCGTCTAGTTCAAAGCTCTGCTACAAGTGCTACTGGTCTTACTACTGGTTTTTGGGAGGTGCCAGTCCTGGTTGAGTTTAATCACCTGCTGCCTGCTGCTGTCGCCCTTAGATGTCAGCTGCCCATCGTCCTTCCACGACTGTTTGTGCCTCCGTTTTCATTTCGGCGTCGTCGTCATGACTTGGTGTTGACATGCATGGTGCTCGCTATTGCCACAGTGCTCTCACAGACATTCTGTATCTTGTTGCCAAGCACCAATGTGCTGAATAGGTTTAGGGTTGCAAGGTTTAGGGCTCAACGTTTCGTCAGGTTTATTGCTGCTGCGTCGTACGCACGATTTGGTGTTTCTTTTTTTTGCTTGCTTCCCCTATGGCACCGAACCGTTACACATCCCACGTAGTCAACATTGCAATATTCTAGAACCCTTGTCGAACAAATATAAGACACTTGCCAAAACCAAATATATGCCCCTTTCGCGACATAGTACGGACATACTAAGCTGTTCATATGAGGACAGCTGCTTGGCCGGTTCGTCTTGACACCATCTCACCTGCGTTAGACTTTTGGGTTTGGGGCTGCAGGGTTTAAGGATTAGGGTTTGAGAAAGGAGTGTGGATGGATAGTTTGCCACAAGATGTTGACGACACCATTGTCGATCCGGTCGATCGTGTTGGCATGTGTTGGCTATAGTGATGGCAATGACGATGCTGTTGCTGGATTGCAATGATTACTCGGGGAAGACCTAAGCGCTAAATCCTAAGCCCGAGACCGTGAGCGTCAGCGTTGGAGGCTCGACATCGAGCTTTGCCACCGGCACTAACACCATCGGCCTGAATGGCCATGTTACGGTGGCTTCCGGGAAGAACTTGAGCTGCAGCGGGAGACGAAGATCTTCAAGCATCTGAGTCGAGTAATGCCAGCACGACCAAGGAACCTGGTGATGACCGCCACAGGAAACGGCCAGTTCACCACAGGCACCGGTACTGTAACGCTCAATGGGAATACCATTGCAACTTCACCGCAACAGCTGTAGCTGGATTTGTGAGCTTCCGGAGGCTTTTCTGGCTTCCGGCTGGCAGAATTAACATATTCACCCCCCCCCCCCCCCCCCCCC